CTTTTATCCTTTTCTCTCTGTTTTTTTTTTTTTTTTTTTTTTTTTGAGATGGAGTCTCGCTTCTTGCCCAGGCTGGGTACAGTGGGCGCAATCTCAGTTCAATGCAACCTCTGTCCTTGGGTACAAGCGATTCTCCTGTCTTAGCCTCCAAGTGGCTGGGATTACAGCATGCACCCACCATGCCTGGCTAATTTTCTATATTTTTAGTAGAGACAGGGTTTCATCATTTGGCCAGGCGGTCTTTGAACTCCTGACCTCAGGTGATCGGCCTGCCTCAGCCTCCCCAAAGTGCTGGGATTACAGCAATGGAGTCACTGCACCTGGCCCCTTTCTTAAACTATACTGTAAGAATTAAAGAAAGAGGAGAGAAAACACGAAGGGTGGCTTGACAGTCAACAGGTTTATTTCAAATCTGGAGGGAATTCTGAGCAAGTTAGGTCAGAAGCCCACACTCTCTTAGAGACTAAGAGTTTTTAAGGGATTCACGGTGGGGAGAGTTTATCAGACCGTGTCGGACTGCTTTTGTGTCTCTTTGGTTGTGCTTATCTGGGAGGCAGAGTTGTGTGTTGCTCTGTCCCATACATCTTTCTGCAGCTGCGGGACATATTTGCCCCCGAGTCGATTTACTTCCCCTATCTAGTGCACTTGAAGGAAAGAATGTGCTGTATTATGGCCCCACGTTTTTACCTGGGGCCCATTGTAAATGAAAAAAAAAAAAAAAAGAAGAGGAAGTATCTTGTAAGTCAGTAGCAACACAGAACTCTGGTCTTCCTTAAGGAGTGTTACCTGCCATGATCCTCTGTCCTCACTCCAGGGCTGAGTCTGGACTTCAGCCTTCAATGACCAATTAGAATGAGACGTTCACAGTTACTTGCCCCAGATGCCGTTGGAACCCACCTTCGTCCTCAGCTTCCACTTCGGATGTTTCACACGCATACGCTTCCCGTCATCTACCATTTTAGGAACTGGGATAGAAACCTTATTGGCATAATTAGGATCAATTCCTCTTGTGTAGGACCCCTGGAAAAAGACAAAAAAATAAAAATAAAAATAAATAAAAACAGAAAATGGCTACTCTTGGCTCCGACTCTGCAAGAAGAAGGGAAAAACTAGTTCTTGGCAAAATCTGAAGGATGCGTAAGCCCTGGCTGCGGCAGGCGGGCCCAGTTCTGGCTAGTTCCCCTGGCAGTGTGTGCAGATCGAATGGAGGAGAAAAATGAACACCAAATGCCACAGGGGGAACAGCAAAGATGGTCAGACTATCGCCAGCCTCACCATAGCTGCTGCTTCTCATCCTCTGTCCTCTCTGCTGGGGAAAAAATTCAAGTTACCAAAATCCATGGTTTAGGGTGAGACTTCTGGCAAGAAACGGAGAAGTAAAAATGCTGGAGAAGATTACCATTGGGGAAAATAGCGTTTTAACTTAAAAAAAATACTTTGCGGCCTCATAAACATCTGTGTTCCATATGAGGCTGATGCAGAAACGCATGTATGGCTTTCTTGCTGCGTAAGCTGCGATATAACTCCCTGGGGACTGGGGGTTCTCTGCTTTGTGAGGTGTTGGAAAGGCTCTGCCTCTCTGCTCCTGAGTGGTCTCTATCCTTATGGTCCTTGTGAGATGCACTGACCACGAGAGAGTACTCAGTCGTCAACAGGAGTCTGGACCAAAAAGAAAAGACCCATGAAGCCTAAAAGGCCATAAATGTAGAGCAGGAGGCCAGCTAAGGGTTTACAAAAGGTCCACAGTCAGATCAGCCTCAACATGAAAATGAAGCTGGTCTCAGACATTCCCCTTTCAGACTTGCAGGAAGTACCTGCATGAAGACAATCTGGTTCTGAATGAAGCCGTGCGCTGACAAGTCCGTCTTGACCTGTTGAGCCATGGCGGCCCAGTGCTGGCTCACAGAGGCACACTTGTTCAGGGTGTGTCTATCCAGCATTCCTGGAAAAAAAAAAAAAAAGATGGACCCAGAAACCCCAGAACTGGGCCAAGATGGGAGGTGTCTGGGAAATCCCCTCAAACACCCCAGCATACTTAGAATGTACTTGGAGAGGTGGATGGGCAGGTAACGGATGAAGTCTCGGTATTTGCTGAACCCAGAAGACAGGTCTCTGAGGTCATCCAGGTCAACCAATAGATTGCAGGGATCGTACCCTGGCTTGGTTATGCCTCCTTTTTCAGAAAACAGCCTATTCATTTCAGAAATACACTGGAGTGAATTCCTCCATGGTTCCTCTAGAGTGAAGCCAGAGAAAGGTATGTGGTTGAGTTGGCTCTGTAGAAACTCCAGGCCAAGAGCAAGTCCTCACCAAAAGCTCTCCCACAAAATAAACCTCCTCAGAGTCTACCCTTAGGCCACTAGATTTTTGTCATCTCTTCTGCCACATGAGAATAGAACCTTTTGACCCAAATATACATGTACTTTTCCACTTTTTCAGCCCAAGGAGAAGTCTAGAGTATCAGAGTCTGAAATGACATTGTGCCTGGAATTTTCTTAAAAATTCTCCAACAAGAAAAAATTTTAAACCATTTAAGAAAGGGGGGGAAATGAATGGAATAAAATTGGTAAAATGTTGATAATTGTTGAAGCCAGTGCTATGTGGGTGGGTGGTTATCGTACTGTTCTATATACTTTTGAAATTTGAAATTTTCCATTTAAGTGTTTTAGAATCTATGCCTTGTATTTCTTATGATATTGTGTTTCCTATGATATTTCATAGGAAATATCATAGATATTTCAAAATCTACCCCCAGGCTGAGAAGGCCATTCAAAACCCAACTTAGGAGTGCCTTGAGGTGGGGAACCAAATTCCCCATTAATTTTATTCCCTCCTCAAGATCGAATCCAATACTGCAAAAATAGCCATTGGTGGGTTTAATTCTAGAGCAGAGCCGGCCACCATGCCAGAGCCCAGGGACTAGATGATGGATTGTGGCCCGGAGCAGAGAAAGACTCCAAAGGAAACCATTGATAGTCTCCTTTCTGATTTCTATTTTCAGATGTGTCTTGTGGACACCACAGTGGAGAGGTGAAAATATGGGTTTGGGGGCCATACTGATCAATTTCAATCCTTGCTCCTCCCCTTACCAGCTGTGAGAATTAGATGGGGAAGTAAATGTCAAAGAGCCCAGCACATTGTAGATGCTAAATGAATGTGAGTTCCTCAAATCTGCCATCCCCAGATGCCATCACCCTGCCAGCCCCTCCAGTTCCACAGGGTCTTCCCAATCTCACATTGGTTTCAATATTGGCTTTCTTGTTGAAAGTTGACTTACCAGGGTTAGAAGCTGCCCCAAGTAAGTGTTCATTTTCTGGGGCTTTGGACAAAGGAAGGGATGTGTGCTGAGTTTTGGCTGTCCAATAGACTTGTGAGGTCACAGACTTGGAGCTGTCATCTTTCTCGGGGGAAAAACACACATCTGTGATGTCTTGATTGAGCCCTGAAAAACAAAAGACCAAGACAAGGTTGCTCTTGAAGCAGGTGTGTTGAGGAAAATGAGGTGGAGAGAAACTTTTTCATATTTTCTTGCTTCTTTTTTTTCTTTTTTTTTTTTTTTTGAGACGGAGTCTCACTCTGTCGCCCAGGCAGGAGTGCAGTGGCGTGATCTCGGCTCACTGCAAGCTCCGCCTCCTGGGTTCACGCCATTCTCCTGCCTCAGCCTCCCGAGTAGCTGGGACTACAGGTGCCCGCCACCACGCCTGGCTAATTTTTTGTATTTTTAGTAGAGACGGAGTTTCACCGTGTTAACCAGGATGGTCTTAATCTCCTGACCTCGTGATCCGCCCGCCTTGGCCTCCCAAAGTGCTAGGATTACAGGCGTGATTCTTCCTTCTTTTAAAGATGTACAGAACGGACCAGAGCAGTTATGTCTGTTTTTATTTGGGGCCTCCAAACTTCTATGCAAAAATCTCAGAAAGCTTCCTGTTAGTGTTTCAGCGTACTTCCAATGTAAACTATCTTGAGCTGTTTACACAAGGAGAGAGAGAGTCGAGGTCCGGAATTGCAACAGGGAATGTTCTTTGGAAGCTCAAGATGAATTTTCTTCCATGATAGAAATAACCACCCTCGAGTCAAATTAGAACATTTAACCTTTTTTTGGTTTGTTTTTGTTTTTTGAGACGGAGTTTTGCTCTTATTGCCCAGGGTGGAGTGCAATGGCATGGTCTTGGATCACTGTAACCTCCACCTCCCGGGTTCAAGTGATTCTCCTGCCTCAGCCTCCCAAGTAGCTGGGATTACAAGCGCATGACAACTGGCTATTTTTTGCATTTTTAGTAGAGATGGGGTTTTGCCATGTTGGCCAGGCTGGTCTCGAACTCCTGACCTCAGGTGATCCGCCCACCTTGGCCTCCCAAAGTGCTGGGATTGCAAGCGTAAGCCACCATGCCTGGCCAGAACATTTAATTTTTTAAGAGAGAATCTGCTCTAAGAAAAGAGAAGGTTGTTGGCCAGGCGCGGTGGCTCATGCTTGTAATCTCAGCATGTTGGGAGGCTGAGGTGGGCGGATCACGAGGTCAGGCGATCGAGACCATCCTGGCTAACACGGTGAAACCCCGTCTCTACTAAAAATACAAAAAAAATTAGCCGGGCATGGTGGCGGGCGCCTGTAGTCCCAGCTACTTGGGAGGCTGAGGCAGGAGAATGGCGTGAACCCGGGCGGTGGAGCTTGCAGCAGTGAGCCAAGATCAGGCCAGCCTGGGCGACAGAGTGAGACTACATCTCAAAAAAACAAACAAACAAACAAAAACAAAAAAGAAGGTTGCCACAACCTGTAATAGGACTTACACAACTCCAATGTAAATAGCCCATTTCTATGGTGCGTGATGAAACTTTTGGAAGAGCACCATGGAGCATTGCATCTGTGCGTACAAGCCAGGCCCTCCGCTGCTGGCAGCACTGCAGAGTGGAAGAGGCTCAGGAGGGGATATTGGTTTTCAGTCCACATGGTGGGTGACCTAAGTGAAGTCATTCAGATGACCTGGACTTTGGTCTCCTTATGTAACTACTAAGGATCAACCAGTCGGTTGATCTCCAATCTAACTTACTGTTTTTGACACCCTGGGATTCACTGTGTCTTCATTCTATATTATCATTCTTTTATACCCCTGACACGCCAAATAAATCAAGTGACATATTTTGTGATCTAACTGCGTCCTAGGCCATCCAGCTTTAAAATTCTTTTGGATTCCACTAGTCTACAAATATGACCACCTCTCAGGTCTCATTGGTGACAGGAATTACACACCTTCAAGAGCTAAAACTCCAAAACGCCTCCATGTGACCACCCCTCCCAGCTTTCTCCCACCCTTGCTTAAATCTGAGCTTCCCCACGCTGGACCCTTCCACTCCCGGACCCCTCCAAAGCTCAATTCTCTTGCTTCCTGATACAGTTGGGATATTTGTCCCCTCCAAATCTCATGTTGAAATGTGACCCCCAATATTGGAAGTGAGATCCGATGGGAGGTTTTTGGGTTTGGGGCAGATCTCTCATGAGTGGCTTGGTGTCCTTCCCACAGTAATGAGTGAGTTCTCGCTCTATTAATACAGTTCAAGAAAGAGCCGGCTGTTTAACATAAACTGACACCCCTCCCCCTCTCTTGCTTCTTCTCTTGCCGCATTATACGTTGATTTCCCTGACATTCCACCATGAGTGGAAGCTTCCTGAAGCCCTCACCAGAAAGAGATGCTGGTGCCATGCTTCTGGTACAGTCTGCAGAACTGCAAGCCAAATAAAACTCATTTCCTTATAAATTGCTTATAAATTTCCTTATAAATTACTCAGCCTCAGGCATTCCTTTATAGCAAAGCAAAACAGACACCACCCTTATTGTTTCTTCTGCTTCCCTGAACTAGCTGGCCAAACACTTCCAGGATTCTGTAACACCCTAGGCCTGTGATTCTCAAAGAGAGATCCCCAGACCAGCAACATCAGCACTAGCTGGAAACTTGATAGAAATACAGAATCCCTGATTGGGTGCAGTGGCTCACGCCTGTAATCCCAGCACTTTGGGAGGCCGAGGAAGGTGGATCACAAGGTCAGGAGTTCAAACCAGCAGGGCCAGCATGGTGAAACCCCACCTCTACTAAAAAATACCAAAAAATCAGCCAGGCATGGTGGCACGCACCTGTAGTCCCAGCTGCTTGGGAGGCTGAGGGAGGAGAATTGCTTGAACCCGGCAGGTGGAAGTTGCAGTAAGCCAAGATTGCGCCACTGCACTCCAGTCTGGGTGACAGAGCGAGATTTCATCTCACAAAAAAAAAGAAAAGAAAAGAAAAAAATACAGAATCCTGGGCCCACCTCAGACCTGCTGAGTCCAAACTTCTGGGGGAGGAGCTTGTTTTAACAGGTCCTGCTGGAGATCCTGATACAAGCCACAGCTGGAGAACTACCACCCCAGACTTATTTGGCCCTTAAGCTATCTCCAGCCTTGGAGAAACTCTACTTTAAGGTTTGATTTCATGGATAAGCAAGGAGCATGGTAGAGTGAATGAAAAAAAAAAAAAAAAGCCGTAAGTTTTGACTTCTTGGTCTGGTTTCTGTGCAGCGTAGCTGAAAAGCAAAACAATAGCTTCCCCTTTACAACCCTCTCAAGCCCAGGCCAATCCCTAAAGCAGGAATGGCACCAGCATTAAGGGGTCAGAGGCAGGGGCCAGCCATTTCTGGGCCTATGAGATGCAGAAATCCATGATAAATGCTTGTCAGTTAAAAGTTGTGTACTTCCTCCTGCATTGATCATTTTCAAGAAGGAAGTTACATTCAGTCATTTCTCCTTTGGTAAACAGGATCAGGTGTCAGGACAAGGTGTCAGTTCAAAAAAACCTACGCTGCATTCTGTGCAATCTCTGTCTACCTATGTTGTCTACAACTGCAGTTCCCTACAGATTTCTGAAGTCTTGCCTTCCGGTTTTTGGGGGCCCTCTGGTCTTTGCCTGTGGCCTTGTTTACCTGAGATATTGTTCTGCTCTCTCAGAAACAGGACTCTGATCACATCGGCAGCAGTGAGCAGTAATTTGGGGTTGCACATCTGCAGCAGTAAGAGAGTATAATTCGCCTTGGTCCAGTGGGTGCTGTTCCCAAACCAGTACAAGATCTCCTTCATCTTCTGTTCTACTGTTTTATCCAACATTTGGTTCAAGAAGGACTTCGCAACTTTCCGCTCTTTCTTGCTGAGGTCGATCCGGGACCTGTTATAGATGAAATCCTTTCCCTGTGTGGTCTGAAGGATATTCTGGAAATAGTGTAACAAATACAAGCTATTTAACTGCTTCAGAATGCTAACTAGAAACCTCCTCTGTGATATGTCATTGATCCTGCAGAACCACTCTTTGGTAGAGAAGATCTTCCAGGCTAAGACACACGTCTCACACTTCTGGCATAGAGGGATGGAATCGGTTCCCTTCTCACAATGAAAATAGGGGGCATTCTTGAGCGTTGATTCCAGGTTTTCCATGATCCTGAGATAACCAGCTCATTTTAGCCCTGCCCACTTGCAGCAGCAACACCACCGAACACTAGAGGAACAGGAGAAATGAATAAATACCCCAGTTGTGCCTTTTCAATTACAGACGTCTCCCAGAGCAAAAGTAAATGGCTGCCATGGATGGAAAGCGTCTCTCTCTCAGAAACTGCCAGTAGAAGTCTGGCTTTTTGTACAGACCTCCTTGGAAACATGGCTTTACCGTAAATCTCCTAAACCTGGTGCTGCTTTATGTGGAGGCAGTTGCTGTATATTCTGAAAGAGCTGGTCATCTCATTTCTAGGACAACAAGAATACTATTAGCCAAATTTAAGTAATATGTGGACTATTACTGGTATTGTGCTTTAATTACTGTTATATATGGCTTCTGAATATTCATGAATATAAAATAAGATGCAAACTTCTTATGTTTATATCTGTTCAGTTACAAGGTGGCTATCCCAATGATACTAAATATGTTTATATTCATTTTCTTAAGTCATCATCAAAGTAAAACCAGAAATGTTTAATATAAATTTAAGTTATTTAACTGCTTCAGAATACTAACCAGAAATCTCACCATTGTCAAACTGCCCAGGCAAAACATATTGGGCAGCTGACAGAAAGAGTTTCAAAGTCATGCTGAGATAATTCTCCTATTTCAGGCAAGGCTAGGTTCAAACATTGACTCTGGTAATTAGGAGCTATATGGTCTTAGCAAGCAACCTGTCCTCTCTGAGCCTCAGTGTCTCCATCATAGTTATGAGGATGGAGAAGATAAAGGCGGGTAATAAAAATGATAACTACCTTCTAGGATTGCATTAAATATCCAAGATCAGTTGTTGTTGTTATTGTTACTGTTACTAAAGCATTATTACCCTAGATAAAGCCAAAAGGTTTGCAATATTGTTTGCCTTTCTAATGCCCATGTTGGAAGACCAGGCATAACCAGAGAAAGGTAATGGAATCCATCGCTGGGATTTGGTTGGCGATGGTAGTCACATACTAGGGTCAGAATGGGGGGAATAGGAATCAGGTTAAGAATGAGATCAGTTCTCACAGCTCAACCTCTTCTGTCTGAAGAGGAATCTGGAGAAAAGGTGTGAGTAGATTAATATTTAATTAATCGGGAAGGCCAGACAAAGGAGGGTGGCAAAGAGAAGGGACGCCCGAAGCAGACTCTTTGGATCTGTAAGGTGGGCACATTACCCTAAGAAGTGCTGCAAGCTAAAAGTAGCTCTTTTTTTTTTCTTAATTAACTTGTTTATTTATAATTGACACATTATAAATAGCTTGTTTAAAAAAAATTTTTTTTTTTTTTGAGACAGAGTCTCACTCTCTCGCCCAGGCTGGAGTGCAGTGGCCAGATCTCAGCTCACTGCAAGCTCCGCCTCCTGGGTTTATGCCATTCTCCTGCCTCAGCCTCCCGAGTAGCTGGGACTACAGGTGCCCGCCACCTCGCCCCGCTAGTTTTTTGCATTTTTTAGTAGAGACCGGGTTTCACCAGGTTAGCCAGGATGGTCTCAATTTCCTGACCTCGTGATCCGCCCATCTCAGCCTCCCAAAGTGCTGGGATTACAGGCTTGAGCCACCGCGCCCGGCCGTTTTTAAAGATTTAAATAAATTTGGATTTTAATCTATGAGGCTGACTTTCCTCAAGGAAGCCTTTTTTTTTTTTTTCTGGAGTCAGAGTCTAGGTCTACCCCCAGGCTGGAGGACAGTGGTGTGATCTCGGCTCACTGCAACCTCTGCTTCCCGGGTTAAAGTGCTTCTCTTGCCTCAGCCTCCCTAGTAGCTGAGATTACAGGCATATGCCACCATGCCCAGCTAATTTTTATATTTTTAGTAGAGACGACATTTTGCCATGTTGGCCAGGCTGGTCTTAAACTCCTGACCTCAAGTGATCTGCCCGCCTCGGTCTCCCAAAGTGCTGGGATTACAGGCGTGAGCCACTGCCCCGACCAAGGAAGCAGTTTTAATCACCCAACTTAGTCTTTATTTCATATTTCAG